CTGTTCCATTTATCTATGTATATTTCATTGTACCAGAACCAGGATGTTTTTGGCACTGTGGCTGTGTAGTAAAGTTGGGATCAGGGAATGAGAGGCTTCCAACTTTTTCTTAGTAAGCAGTGCCTTGGTTATCCGAGGTTTTCCCCCTCTAGTTAGTGATCATTTTTCCCATCTCTTTAAAGAATGATATTGGACGCTGGATTGGGAGTCCTGGTGTGGTGCTGTGGGTTAATGCAATGGACTGCAAAGTCATTTGAATCACAAGGTTGAGAGTTCAAGCTCACCAGCCTCTCCTTTAAAATCCTATACAGGGTCACCATGTGTAGAAACTGACTCAAAGGCACTTAACAACAACGACATAGATTTCTTTGGGTAGATTTGACATTTTTATAATGTTAAGTCTTCCCGTCCATGATCATGGTGTATTCTTCCATTTTTGTTGGTTTCTTGAAGTAGTGGTTTGTAGTTTTCTTTGTATAGGTCTTTTGTTTCAGTGAACACTCATTTAAACAGAGATATCTTTTAGAGATAATTCAGAAATCATTCTAAAATTGGATAGGATATCTCATTTGAAAGAACCATTTTCTGCTTTTGCTTCTGATACTTATACAATGAAAAGTAATACATGTATTTATTGTACACTTATTTCATGCTGATAATTACGCTAAGTACCTGACATGGACTCTCTCATTTCATCCCCAGAACATCTGGATGAGGTAGGTACTACATTAAGGGACTTGCTGCTAAGGTTATCTGGTGTTGCTGTAACAGGACAGAAATACTGGGCAGCCTAACAAACAAATTTATTTTCTCACAGTTTAGGAGGCCAGAAGTTCAAATTGCAGGTACTGACTCTGAGGGATGGTCCTTGCCTCTTTTCATCGTTTGTTTCCTGGGAGATCTCATGTAGCCTGGCATTTATATTCCCCCATTTCTGCTTGCTTGCTTGGTTGCTAGCTTAATCTGCTCTTGTTATAGCTCAAAAGAGATTGTTTTAAAACATACCCTCCACTAATACTGTATCATTAACATAATAAAGAAATCCCATTTCCAAATGGGATTATTATCACTTGGGATTACTATCACAGGCTTTTGGGAGACATAATTAAATCCTTAACAGGGATAGAACCAAGATTAGAATTCAGGAAGCATGGTGGCCCTATTTGAAGGATTTTTTCACTGTCTGCACTTGGACCATTTCTCCCTCACTGGCCTGTGCTAATTTTGCACCTTTCCTAATACAGGCAACACTTGCACCCGCAAAGCTGCTCTTACTTTTTTCTCCTCAGGAAGTTAGTGTGACTCACCCTCATTGGACTGAGGGGAGTCATGAGGCAATGGAAAGCAGTAAAAACAATTATTTAAGGTCTGATGTGGCACTGCAAGGTAATACACTGGATTGCAAGGTCAATTTTAACCGCAAGATCACCAGTTCAACAGAAACACTACACTGGGTTGCTATAGGTTGGAACTGACTTGATGGCACTTAAAAACAACAACATTTAACTGAAAAAGTAAAGATTCAGTCCTTATTGTACTATAAATACATATCATATATGTGTCTTAATTGTGTTTGAATGTAAATATAAATCTTTGATTTATTTGAATACCACTTCTTTTATTTCATTTATAGATGTG